TCAGGATATTGATTTGCACCACATTTGCAGACCCTTTCTGTGTCCTCCCAAGGGCAGGAAAAAGCCTCTCAGTCAACACTCCCTTCTCATAACTCGCTCAGTTAATGGGATGAGGTTTTTAAGCATTTTTGGGGGGGCAGTTGGGATTTGCAGAGATGAGGGTGGTGAAGCTGAAGGCTGAGATGCCCCTTCCCCACTCGTGGTTTCATCACCCCCGCTGTGGTTTAGCAGCTCTTCAGAACTCATGTGGCTTTCCTGCTCCCATTTCTCCCCTGCCAAGCACTCCCCTCTTTTCCTGCCCTGTTTTTCCCTGTATCCTTACCCGGGGTCATCCTCTCCTTCCAGCAGCCCTTCCTCCTCCCCGGGCTTTGTCCCCAAAAGCCCCATCCCACCCCGCTGGGCAGGCACAAAGGAGTGGCAGCACAACTGCAGCTCCCGAAGAAACCTGCGCTCCCGTTTTTCCTGTGGAAACAATGGGTCTGGCTGAGCCCTTTCTTCTGGAAAGCTCTGGCTTCCCTGCAATTTTCTGTCCCCTCTGTGGGTGGGTGGTTGCATTCACTCTCTCCCTCTAATAGGTACAAGGTCCTGTGTGAGAATTGTGCTTTTTCTTCCTGCTTTGGCTCTGTCCCCCCCAACTTCCACTCTGCTGGGTCAAACCCAAATTATCTCTGCTCTCCGGAGCAGGGAGGCCAAGGTGGAAATCCTGTTGCATAACCAGCCCTGTGAGCTCTGCTCTGGCTTAAACCTCACCTCGTGTGGCTTCTGGAGGTGCCCTTAAAAAAAGGAATGGTTGGGTGAGAAGGGAAGTGAGAGCAGCGGGAAGCAAAGGTGGCACAGGAGGGGGACACAGGTGGCTGCCCTGGGCATTCTGGATGCTCTGGGGTAGAAGGGAGAGCAGGAAGAGCTGCTGGAGGGTTGATGTCCTGCAAACACAAACTCCAAGCCTGAAAATGTCCCTCAAGGGGCAAAGAGTGGTGGAATGGGGGATGCCAAGGCAGTGAGTGGGGGAGCATCAGTCTGGGATTGAATGCTTGGCTGCACACCAAGGTGTGGAGTGCTGAGGTGGTGTCAGTGGTGTGAGGTGCCAGCACACCCCTGTCCCAGGATAAAGCCCTGTTTTTCCATCCCTTAATGCAGAGAGCCTTCATTATTTCATTCCAGCTGTGATGGAGCAGCCTCTCCAGTTCAGAGTGTGAGGAGCACGGGCTGGGATCCTGAGCAGACTCCTGGCAGAAGGCACTCAGGAATCAGAGGGAGGAAAGACCCATTAGGTCATCTGCTCCATCCCCCAGGCAGCAAACACCAGGGCTGTCCCCTGGGGTTGTCCAGCCCTGTTATTAGCAGTGTCTCAAGCAGTGGTGCTGCATCCAGGGGAAATGACTCAGCCTGATAGACCCTCTCCCAGGGCTCCAACTGGGCTTTCCACTGTTTAACAGCATTGCCTTTTCCCTCATTTCCCTCCTTTGGGGAGGATGGAAAGCTGAACATGAGCTTCACACGAGCCAGAGGAAAGCAAGGGATGGTCACTTTTATGTGGCTGCAACTGGGGGTGCCCCCCAAGGAACACCTTCCTCTGGAGTGCAGCCCCAGGAATGGGATGGAGTGGGATGGTGGAGGACCACCTGCCTGATCCCTGAGAGCACTGATGGGCCTTAATGACCCTGATCAGCCTCTCCTAGGACCCCCTCCCAGACCCTCATCCCTCCTGAGCTGGGCTGCAGGGTCTTTGCCTCCAGCCCTGCCTCTGGCTGGGCCTCCTGGATGGCCCATAAGTTTATGGTGGACGTGGTTTATCTCCTGGTGCTTTTGTGCCTTGTCCCATCTCTGTCTCTGGGATGGGGACAATGCATCTTCTCTTTGCTGAGCTTTGCAAGGCTCTGCTGGTTTGCTCCTCCAGTCCAGGTTTGGGGTTGCTGGGGCCTCTGCACAAAAGCCCCAGGTCAGCCTGGCTCTTTCTCTGGGTGTGGTTTCTGGGCTCTCTGAGCAGAGACCCTGAGCCAACCCCAAGCACCTCAGCAGGTTTCTGAGGGGTCGTTCTGCAGCTCCAGGGTGTGTCTCTAACAGCTTTCCCCCTGCCCTGGAGGGTCTGGGACAGTGTCACCGCCAGGGTGGAGGCAGAAGTGTGCTGGTGGTTCAGCAGTGGCAGAAGGAGTGTTTGTGAGCAGAGCTGCTCACTGGGAGGAAGATGGGGAAGCCTGGCTGTGGAACAAGGCACCTGAGCCTGTGGAAAGCTGAAAACTCAGGAGGAAATGTGGGGTTTTGCAAAGGAAACACAGAATTCCAGTGCCAGATGTACAGTCTGTCCTTTCCCTGAATGGCTGCTGCACTCACAGCACCCTCATTATCCCCCTGCCTGGGATTAATCTGCTCCCAGGAAGGCTGTGACCCCGCTCTCTCATGGCTGGTGACTCAGACCTTGCCCTGAGAATCCCTTCCCTGGCTAATCCCTGTCCTTGAGGAGCAGCAGGTCTGCTCCCAGGCAAGGAGAGAAAATAAACCTGCTTTGAAAGTCAAAGGAAATCTGTGATGGTCTTGTAATAACCAGAAATTCAGCTGTGTCAGGGTGGAGAGCTGGCCCTGGGTTAGTCCTTGGGGAGAAGCTGCAAGGAAAAGCTTTTGGTGTTGAGGCTGTTTAAGCACTAAATCCAGTGTCAAACAACCTCATAGCACAGCAGCTTCTGCCCCAAAGTGAGAGTTTGGGACAATGAGCTGCAGCAACTGGAATCATATCATGGTTTGGGTTGGGGTGTGGTGTGTAGAGCCAGGAGTAGGATTGGATCCTGATGTGTCCCTCCCAGCTCAGCATGTTCTATGCTTCTGTGATAAATTTATAAGTCAAGATTAGATTTAATATAGAATTATTTAAATAGCATCTCAAATACAAATGTATAAGTCCGTATAAGCCTGCACTCAGACTTAATTCTTACCTAAACAAATATATTTGTTTACCCTTTATACCACTGAGCATATAAAAAGCCCAAAGCTTTAATAAAATGCTTGTTTTATGTGGGTTCCTTTTGGAAAAAAATGAGTTTCTGCTCCACTAAGCCCCCTCCCCCCCACCAGTTTAGTGGCCACACTGCCAACCTGAACTATCAGTGTACTGAAAACTTCGAAGGGAAAAGAAGCAAGAAAAGAATTAAGACAGCACTCTAAGCTTACAGAAAAATATGAGTTTCTCTTCATATTTGGAGCCAAGAAGCCCTCTCATATCACACCACCATGTACACAAAGCCCTACCGCCAGTGCCATGAATGATTTACAACCTGTTGTGTTACAGTATGCAGAGACAGGAGTGGATTATCAAGTTTTTGAAGCAGCCTCAAGTTGTTGGCCCTTCCTGAAGGAACATCTCACCCCAGCTCCCCACAAACAGCAGCATCTCCTGCAGGACCCCCCTCCCTTCCCTCCCTCCCAGCACAAGGGCTCTTCCAGGGAGGTGGTGTTAGGGCTGATACATTTGTGTCTGAAGCGGATCAAAGCAGTTTCTCCTCCACTGCCCGGTTGTTTTCCCCTCTCCGGGGTGTGGATGGCTCCTGTCAGGATGCAGCACGCCCGAGGTTGTTTGTGCACCCTCAGATAAATCTCTCACCTCATGCACAGTGGGAATTAAGAGTGAATGCAGGGGCTGGACGCCTCCCAAGCCGTGGCAGATGCTGGTGCAGATGGTGCTGGCGCAGTTCCCACTGACAAATCATCAAGTGGGATTGTCCAGACTCTCCCAGTTCAAGGGGCTGTGGGTCTGGAGTGATCCTGCAAGGCTGGGCCAGGGGGTGCTGCCCTGGGTCTGTCCCTTGTCCCCACACCTTGGAGGTGACAGGGATGTTGCCACGCTGGTTGTGGATGTCTGGGAGGTAAAACACCGTGTCTGGGTAGAGCCAGAGGTCTGCAAGTCTTTGTGCTAATGGAGAGGAACAAGAAGCCTCAGGGGTTTGAGCAGATTTTTCCTCAGGTATTGGTGTATTTGAAAGGTTCTGTAGTTAAAGGATGAACTTGGAAAGGCAAAGTCTGTGTTCACCACGGGGGTTAAAAGCTCCTCCTGAGGCTGAAGGGATGGTGCTGCCAAACAGCCCAGGTTGGAGCTCCCACCCTGTTCAAACCATCCTGCTGTTCCCAGCACAGCTGTGAAGGTGTCTGGGAAAGGGGATGGATCCTGCTGGAGCTCCTGACCTTGTGAGAGTGATGAACCCCATCTGGGCAGAGAGGAGTGTCCCTGTGCCCTGGTCAGGACAGGTGAGGGACACAGTGACTTCATCCCTCTCCTTGGCCCAGTCCTTTATGGAAACTGGGCAAACACCCAAGAGGAAGCTTGGAAAAGGACTGAGCAGGATTTTCAGTGCCCAGCTGAGCCAGGACTTGTGGTTTAGGACATTTGTGTCCCAGGCTCTGCTTTACAGTCCTGAGCATCCCAACTGTGTGATTACAGATGCTCCACCACTGCTGGGGAACGAATGGCCCTTCATGTCTTTGGGACACTGGTGGCCTTGAAACACATATTCTGTTTCAAAATTCTCTCCTGGCTGCTTCTGAAGTTGTCTTTTTGCTCTTGAGTTTACTGAATTTGTGAATTGCTTCGATCTCCCCAAATTGCATGCTCTTCTTCCTGGGGGTTTTGTCTGTTGTCTGAGTCATCTGGTC